ATGTTCTACATGTTTTCACTTCCTTTTCAATGTCATTTCAACAACATTTCTATATTTTGTTAGTTTTATGGTTTGTTTGTTGATTTAGTGCGTTTCAAGTCATTGAGGTTGAATTTGATGATATTTTGGACAAAAATGCACTAATGATTGAAGTTTTGGAGCATTTGTGATATGGTTGAAGTTGATTTTATGAATCTTTCCAAGCCCCCACCCCGACCATGAAGCCGGCTGCTCCAATGTATAAAAATTGCATTTTAGAGTTGAAAATTTAATTTATGAAAGGTCTTCAAGGTTGTCCCACAGTCGTGTTCAAGTCTGTGTTCAGGCATGACACGAGGCCTATTTAAAAGTATTTTATGATTTTCTTAAAGAATGACTTAATGCTTTGGCTAATTAATTCTAGACCAAGGAGAATATCAAAATCTATTGTTAATACACCATGCCCATGGGGTCAAGTTATGATTATTTTGGAAATTTCAGAAGACTTCAACCACTTTTTTTATTATCTAAAACCCAAAATAGGAGTCGGAGAGGAGAAAATATGAATTTTTCAGTAGTTCAACCTCGAAGGAATCAATGATGCAATCAACCATAGAGATCTCTTCTTCTTCTTCTTTATCTCTATCTCCATTCCCTATGAAGTAAACATCTTTATTGTTTGGAAGTAATGAACCCTAGTTATGTGATTACAAATTGATTGGGTTTTAATATAGATACAATGTATATTTTTCTATGATCTTTGATTAATTTATCTTGCGAGTTTTCAATCGATCCTAGGTTATTGATTTCTTATATGTTTCATATGTATGACAATAAGGGTATCCCTATATGCATGATAAAACACTCAGGATTACGGAAATTTATCAGACTATCAGGATATGGAAGACGAACGACCTCTAGTTTGGAGTCAAACCCAATACGGGAATTCAAAGAACGACTTAATGTTTTGGTAAATTTATTATAGATCAAGGAGAACTATACTATAGGGTTAATTGATTTATAGAGTGTTAATACGCGATGGTGTCAAGTTATGGATATTTTTGAAATTTTTATGGTTTGGGAATAAAAATATCATACGTTTGTTGTGTTTGATTGATCTTTGATAACTAGCTAGGGCATTCGAATATGACCACCGTCTTATTTGCTTGCTTTTGTCTTAGTTAAATTGTGTTGTCATCTTTCGTTGTTTTAATAGCTTTAGTAGTTCATACAATTGCTAAATGAACCAGTTAGATAATTGAAAATAAAGTTAATTACTATTAGTCATCATCTCTATAGGTCATAGGATTTAATCTTGCTTTCGATTACATTGTTATTAACGACATATACACTTGCCTTAGTTAGTCGCACTAGAAAATAGAATGCATGAAAAAAATTGAAAAAATCATCAACAAATAAATTAGTTAGGAAAAAGAAATTTAAACAATTAATTCACATAGAATAATTTATAGTTAGAAACTGGTAACTAATAGTAAACAATTAAATACGTAAAAATAAAATTATATAAAATAGAATTTATTAATGTTTACAATGATTTATTCTAATAAATGAGATTAATATATATATAACAAAGTTCATTGTAGCTTATGGGTGTACAATTGTAATCTCATGATTGGTTTTTATTTTTGGAGGACATAGGTGAAAGAGATAAAATCCATTTCTGGTATGACTGTTTGGTTTTCTCAATTTTCATTGACATTGACCAAATTTGATCGAAGCCCCCTTTTCAGCCAGTTTGGTGACCAATATCGTTTTTACCTTATTGTTACAAATCAGTCCTATTTCCATTCCCCTATTATATATCCCCAATCATGTTATTACAAAATTTGTGATTAATATTTTAAAACCTATATATATCATGCAACCAATCATCTCAAAATTGACAATCCATTAATTTCAATAATCTCACAACCAAACCATCTTCAGGTTGTATATCTCCAAGTAACATTAGCAACTATAAACAATATGTCGGAAATTTGGTTGAACCGGACTAACTAGGTCAAACTAGTTTGGGATTGAATCAACCAAACTAGTTTGGAGTTGACTGACCAAATCAAATATTCTAATTCCACGAAGGAATATGTCCCTTTGGTTTATTGCTAGCTGCATTTTCATGGATAAAGACAAGATTTCGCGGAGCCATGCTTAATTGATAAGGACAACGTTACGTGTAAATATGCTTCATAGATAAGAGCCACCTATCATAAAACAATGATTTTCAAGTTGAAGCATTGCATGGATTCCGACCCTATAAAAATATATTTGTAAAGTGTGGAGTGGATGATGCAACGACAACAATGAAACGAACTTCTAAGTGATTTAGTGTTCTTAATCCTAGAACCTGAAGTGATGGTCGTTTTATTCTCTGAAGAAATTTCCCGTAATCCAAAGGTGTGTGGAGGGTGGAATTTTTTTTTTACAAAAAGTAAATGTAGTTCACAACTCTATCACGATTTTAATCTTAAGATTTGGTCTATCGTACATATAGTCTCATCTGTTCAAACCCAAAACACTCTATACAACTATCATGATAAAATATAATTTCACTATTATATTTGGTGACGTAGGACGCGCAGCCACATACTTACAAAAAGCCATGTATAATTTCCCTTAGGGATGACAATGGGTCGGGTTTCTCTAAACCATCCTCATCCCCATTTTCAATATTCAAACCCATAGCCGCCCCATACCCATGCAGGAGAGGATTGCAACCCCATCCCCATACCTGTGGTTTTTGGATACGTGTGGACAATACCTGCCCCCATATATCCAATCTTGCTATTCCTAGAATTCAACATTTAGACTTTTACTTATAACACTGATTTAACCCAATAAGTTAGGAACTCGACAAAGCTACAACCAGTCTTAATACGAATTCAAAGCATTCAATCCTAAAACATCAATTAATCAATAAAAGTTTAATGCTATCCAAATCATTCACCTCTGAGTCCGATACATTTACTAAGCAATAAATAGCTAACATAACCATGTAAACAAGGCGGAAGAAGTGAAAGAGTGAAGGGTGGACGAAGGGGAATAAATTAGTGTTTGGTTTGAGTGACCACTCAATTACGTTTCATATCTTACTTTTTTAGAATTATCCTTCCCGTCATTGGGAGATTAAAATATAATAATCATTTTTTTAAATACGAAGGTATACTCTTAGTTGGGGGTATGAGTATTGAGAGACTAAAACCATACCCGTCCCATTCCCATCCCATCAAACATTTTGCTAGTTTTATCCATACTTGTCCTATATCTAGTTAATGTAGAGATTTTCTTGTTGTCTAGATCTGGAGTGATTGGATACTGGATTTGATGGGGAACGGACCCGGTCAGTAACCTTGTGGTGAGTAACCATGCACAACTCAATCACCATCTGCCACATCAGCGTTCCTTCTCTCTCTTAGAAAACTTTTAATTTCCCTCTTAATCTTTAAGGGACGATATCTCATTCGTTTTAAGTTGAAATTTAAATTTTTTACACAGTTAGATCATACTAATTGTGCTCTTCAAAATGATATCCACTTTGATATATTTTTGAAACAAAAAAATTGAGCCATTTTTTACAAGTCTAGACCATATGGTATTGACTGGTATTGAAATAAGAGCATATCATATGGTATGAAAAGAGTATCATGGTGGTATGCACATACCAAGGGTGTAGGATGGTTGAGTACATGATAATAGGAGTATACTAACTGTCATTTACGACTTTTAACACTGTGTACCACAATATACCATCCCGTACCAGTGTGGTATTGTTTGGTCATGTATTTTGTTCACCCAAAATTTTTCAGATACAATAAATCATGATGAACTCGTTCATTCTGTGCAAAATTTTTCAAAAATGACTTAAAAATGAAGAAGATACCATATGGTATGCAATTGGTAACGAGAGGCAAGATTTTTTTCCCTAAAAAATATTGAAAATGGACATAATTTTGTAGAGCACAACGAACTCGTTCCATCTGTGCAAAAAAATTGAAATCTGAGTCGATTAAGAAAACAAAGAAAAATAAAAATGTCTTTAATTTTCCACCTTTAGATCTGAATTTTCTGAATCAAGGGTTCATATTTAGTGACTGATAAGTGCATAACCCATGGTTATGCAACTTATCTAGAGACGGATTTGATGTGCCCTCAAATTTCTTTTTTTTAATGAATTTGTCCTAAACCTTTTGTTTTATGCAATTGGCATTTCCTTTGTTAGTCGGACAAATGATCAACGAAACCACGCTTAAGTTAAGAGTTTTAATTCTTTACCCAAAATATATTGAAATATATACTTGTGTTTGGTATTTTTGCTCGGTGTTGCATTGCATGTTTTGCATTCGGCATATTTCGACTTAAAGAAGGTGCTTCAAGAAGTTTGCCGAAGAAGGCTTCTTTTACGTTTATTCGTTTTTTTTATGTTTCTAGACCTACTAACAGAGCTGCCCATTACATGGCGAAAACGGCTCTTGCATCGAAAAATCAGCATTTAGCTGATTACCGTTATTTACTTTTCACCACTTTGTAATTCCCTATCTATCTAAGTAAAAAAAAAAAAAGCTTGTTGTCAAACAAAGGAAATGGAAAGAAAGGACGGAGGGGACCTTCTGCGCTGCGCGCCTCTTTAGTGCGTCGTGTTTAGTGGCGTGTCTACAAGCACAAAGCAACGAGTAGTACTAAAAAATGAGTAAAAACATGTTGAGCCTCTTAACTGTTGCACTGCAGTAGTAGGGTTGCTGTGTTGTGCGAGCGGGGATTGAAGGGTTTGCTCTTTGCAGCAGATAAACGCCACCGCGACTCGACTCCCCCGCTTCCGCTTTCTTCCTCCCTCGTCCGCATCTTTGCTTCCTTACTCCGCTCAGACCACCGCCTCCGATTGCGGTTACCAATCTTTCTCCTCCATCAATCCCTAAATCTCGACCTCTTTCATCTCTATCTCTCTAAAACCCTATCTATTTATCTATCTATCCAGCTTCCTTCATTTATTTCTTTCTCTGATACTAACAATGGGAGCTTCTTTGCCTCCCAAAGAGGCCAACCTCTTCAAGCTCATCGTCGTAAGTCCTCTGTCTTCCCCCGTTCCCGAGTTCTTGCTACTCTGTCGTTCACCTTGTTCTTGATATGCGTTCTTTTTGCCTGCCGCCACCGATTGTACTGAACTCTGTCCGCCGGTCCTAACTCTTTTACTTAGATGGATGAATGTTGGTTGCGGTGCTAGTTAGTTTAGAAGTTTTGTTGCTTCGCATCGAACTAGACTATATGCCCCTGTTCACGGGCTTAGTGAATTAGACGGAGAAAATGGAGTCACATGCGATCGAACAATTGTGTTGGTTGAAAGTCGGCATGCTAGGGATTTCTTCTCACCGACTTTGTTCTTTGTCTTCTGCTTCCATTTAGTGGATCAGTGTCTTCTAGTTGGCGGAGTGTGTTCATGCAAGAAGCGCCTCATGCGCCATTATACTCGGTTTCCGATAGGATTGCTGAGGGTGATGGTTAGGTTGTGAATATGTTCAATCACGTTGAGTTATGCTGCATTGCTGTAAGTACATAGGCTAGGATGTTGTAGACCATTTCATTTATAGCTAAGCCCCAGTGCAAATTTGGCAGTTTGCTCTTGCATTTCTGGGAAATGACTAAGGCAGCCACTGCCTAGTTTGGGAATGATATAAGTCCAGAATTACTATTAATGAGTTGACACACATTGATAGTGGATGTTAATTACATGTCTACTTCCTTTCCATAGAGCTTGCGTGCCAATAGCGCAACTTCTACTACTTAGATCTTATCTATATTCACAGTTCCAAGTTGCGTCTGTTTTGACTTATTTATTTCATCTGGTGAGCGAGGTAACCAATTTCATTTCATATGATCTTCTTTAACTCTGTTCTTTTCCATGTAATGTGGCAGAAATCATATGAAACCAAGCAGTATAAGAAGGGGTTGAAGGCAGCAGATGCTATACTAAAAAAGTTCCCTGACCATGGAGGTAAATTTTCTTGCTGTATGAGTTGATGAAACTTGAAGCAATACATTAGTTCTTGGATTGTTTCTGACTATGAGAATTTGAACGTTTACTCCTTAGTTTATTAGCTGTTCACTCATTAGTATGGAGGTATTTCTTGCTGTTTGAGTTGATGAAACTTGAAGCAATACGTTAGTTCTTGGATTGTTTCTGATTATGAGAATTTCAACCTTTACTCCTTAGTTAGCTGTTAACTCATTATTTCTTTCAATGCAATGCATCCTGTGTCAATGTTTCCTGCTAAGGAATGGAAAACCAAAGTTTGACTCAGATTTCCAAGAGATTTTCACAATTAGATGCTCCCTTGAAGTGCCATTCACACAACTTGATTGAAAAATCTGGGTCCTTGATCTTGACTGGGCCATGTTGCAGAACACATTCTTAGGATGAACACAATGCCTGTTTTTTCTTGTCGCTGATGTAATTATTACCTGCTCGAACCTGTTATCTGAAAACATTATAGCATGGTGGTACAGTATCATTCTCTGTTGCTTTCTAATTATGGTGTAATTACAGTTAGATGTAGTGCAGTTCAGTATACAGGTCTGGGTAGCATTTTTGTCTTATAAAGAGTACTGTTTTTGTTGCTTGAAATTTGCCCTTTTCTAACCGTCTTCGCTTGGTCAGAAACTTTGTCGATGAAGGGCTTGACATTAAATTGCATGGATCGTAAACCTGAAGCGTATGAACTTGTCCGGATGGGGTTGAAGGTTGAGATACTATCTTTGACTGTCTGAGCATTTGGCCCAATTGTTTCTACTTTGCTGTTTTTATGAAGTATGAACATGTTTATTGAATGTGCTTATTCTGCAGAATGACCTTAAAAGTCATGTTTGCTGGCATGTTTATGGTCTCCTCTATCGGTCTGATAGGGAGTACAGAGAAGCTATCAAATGCTATCGTAATGCACTGAGAATAGATCCAGACAATATTGAAATTCTGCGTGACTTGTCCTTGTTACAGGTACAAATTAGTAATCCTCTGCTTCTTTGTATGTGGTTTGTCATGCAACCTAATTTCAATGTGCTTTTGGTTCTCTCATCTTGTTTGAGTCTTAACTTGAGTGACGGTTAGGTCATTCTGTTGGTTTTGTCGTCCCAATGCAATTTACATTACCATGCTATCATTCAAGAACACTTCCACAACTGATTTGATGTATTTTGCAAGTGTGTATCCCAGTCACTTCCAACTGCACCAATTGTTAGAATCACGCTAGGGTGGGGGGTGGGGGGTGGGGGGGTGGGCAGGGGGAGACCAGGATTTTTCTACTGACTGTCACATGTTGCTGCACCTCAGCTGTTCTTTTTCTTTATATAAACAACCACCATGGCAACTCAATAACATTCATTTAGATAAAATACTACCCATTTGTGAAAGCATCCACCCACAGAACCTTTCTTCTTAATTTGAGAGTTCACCATGACCGATTGATATTTAGAAGTCCCTAGTTTCCGTTTTGTGTTTATTAGATCTGAGCAATTGTGATTGGCTGTAGTCTGGTTCTAGTTGTATCTGTTTGACTAGCCGCTTAGAGAATTGATTAAGTTATCGTTCAGCAACTGTGGTTGGATATTCCCTTCAAGTTGGCAGCTGCTTTCTGGGTTGCTTCCTTATCTTTGTTGTCTCGTATTGTAACATGTTTTTGGATGAGTACATGCTTACCTTGTCAAACTGTGGAGTGCAGGCACAAATGCGGGATTTGGATGGTTTTGTCCAGACTAGGCAACAACTACTGACCTTGAAACCAAATCATCGGATGAATTGGATTGGCTTTGCAGTTTCTCACCACTTGAACTCAAAGTATGGTTGGCCTCTGCATTTATTTACTTACTGTGAAAGGTTTTTTTTCGTTGAATCAGTTTCCTCCTTTTATTAAAGTAAAGACGGAACCGTGAAAGGCTAACTTGCCATAAACATAATTTTTCTATCATGTTAAGGATCTCTTAGATGCGAAACTGTTAGTAGTCATTGTTGGATGGCTATCTTATGCCATATATTCTATGGTCTGTTTTGCATTTTTTCCCCAACAATCAGTCTATTGTAGATGTTGCCTTGCCATGCTTTCACAATTCCATTTTCGGACTTCTCATAGGATTGTCCCTTTTATGCCACTGAATAATTTCACCTTTTCATTACCAGTGCATCGAAAGCAGTAGAAATTCTGGAAGCCTATGAAGGAACCTTAGAGGATGATTATCCTCCGGATAATGAGCGATGTGAACATGGAGAAATGCTTTTATATAAGGTGGGACTGTGGTCACTAATGCATCTGTATCTTGACATGCGTTTTTCATGTCTTAGATTTTGAAATTCAAACATTCATGGAATCATTTACTGAATTAAAAATTGTGGCATGTTTTGGTCATATGGATTCTGGATTATGCCGTCAGTGTATCTGGCGCTCAATCTGAGAGCTTTCAAGATATATTTGTAGTTCTGGATTTATATATTGAATTTTCAGCTGCTGAGATTTAGTTTCCTTCCCTTTCACATGCTGAAATTTTTGAAAAAAAGATCTATGTTCAGTGAAGTATTTCTGTATAGTTTTTATACTGTTTGCCTGTCTGTGCTTGTTTTGTGTACGAATGCATGCATGTTGTTCCTAGAACAAGAGCAGTAATTGGCATGGCTATTGCAGTTGTTTAATCAGTGAATATATTTTCCTTGTAGGTATCTTTACTAGAGGAATGCGACTCCCACGAGAGAGCTTTTGCTGAGTTGCAGAAGAAGCAGTTTAAGATTGTAAGTCCCGAAGCGAAAATGTTGGGAAGTCGATATGATGTAACTTTTGCGAGAGAAATGATCACTGTGGGCGATTTAAAAATTTCAGGTTGATAAATTGTCATTCAAGGAACAAGAGGTTACTCTACTAGTAAAGCTTGGACGCCTTGAAGAAGGTGCTAAACTGTACAAGGCATTGCTTTCAATGAATCCTGACAATTACAGGTGATTGGTCGTAATCCTTCAATAATCAATACAAAGTTGATAATTTCCAGATAAAATAAATATGAATTCGGACTTGCCTTATATCATACAATGCTTTGTAGAGCTATTCCTGAAGACACAATGGTGCACATATTAATGCCTCTTGCATACTTCCCCTTGGATATTAGTCTTGTAAGGTTGAGAAAGGAAATTACATTGTTTCGTTTTCTACTGTTCAGATATTATGAAGGCCTGCAAAAATGTGTTGGACTTCGTTCTGAAAATGGTCAATACTCTTCTGATGAGATTGATAAGCTGGATGCTTTATACAAGTCACTGGGTCAAGACTACACCTGGTCATCTGCTGTTAAGGTGATGTTACTCCATCTATTGTAATTCTTAGTGACATTTTGTTATACTGATCGAATTTGCATCAGGAAATTTATGACAGTGGTTTAGTAGCACTGTTTCTTTCCTCGCTCATCGTCTTCTACTGCATTTTATTTTTCATTGATGCTAATGCTACATGGCTACCTGATGAATTTTTTGAGCTTGTCCTTTAATACCATCTCTTCCATTGATTTCAGAGAATACCACTTGACTTTCTCCTAGGGAACCAGTTCCATGAAGCTGCTGATAAGTATATAAGACCCCTCCTAACAAAGGTACTGATACTGTAGTTTAATCAGCAAGCTTAATGCCTTGTCAAATGGGTGCACTTAAATCCTATCTTGCTGACTTACTAGGGAGTTCCTTCATTATTCTCGGATCTGTCTCCTTTATATGACCATCCTGGCAAGGTTAGTAACCCATTTACATTTGATACTTTTTTCTCTTTTCCTTTATTTGTTGGCCTTGCCCATTTTCTTTTGAATGACTCAAAGGAACTTTTGGGTGTGTGTCTTAAAACTGTTTGTAGGCTGAGGTACTGGAGCAACTTATTCTTGAGTTGGAGCATTCAATCAAGGCCAATGGGACTTACCCTGGAAGGTAAATGTGCTTATTTAATTGTAAAATCGAGTCTGTTTCTGTTTTGAATGTTGAAAATGTCATGTTTAGGCTGTGGATTCTCTCACTAGGAGTGATAGCTAATGGTCTCTGCTCTTGCATTTTTAAGCTTCCACTTAGATCCAAGTCAATGGATATGTAGGCTGGGGCCAGAAGAAAAATGGAAATTTTTTAGAAATAAGATGGGAAATCTATGATACTGGTACGGACCTGTGGACTATGGTATATCTTGAATTTTGGTTAACCACTGGAGCTATCAACATGTCTCGTTAATCTCTTGATTAGAAGGAAACTGATCCATGTCATTCTCTTGCTGATTATGCACTAATCAAGTCCTGCACGAGCTACTAATTTTTCCAAATAAACAAGAGTATGCTGAAGATGCAGGGATGAATATGAATTATTTCTGTGTATGCATTTGGTAATGCTTTTGTGTCACCGAGTGCAGAGTGGACAAGGAGCCCCCTTCAACACTCCTGTGGACGTTATTTTACTTGGCACAGGTTCTTATAATTTCACTGATGGTTTCTCCTATTGCTTTCTTATGTGTTTAGTGGTACCTATAGTAATTTTTAACTGCATCTGGTTATTCATCTCCACTTTCTGCAGCATTATGACCGAAGGGGGCAATATGACCTTGCTCTGACCAAAATTGATGAAGCGATATCACATACTCCAACAGTGATTGATTTGTACTCTGTCAAGGTAGGCTGACCCCATCCATCTTCGAGGCTTTGTCCTGTTGTTTTCTCTCCTTTTCTTGATCCAATGAAAGCTTCATGTTGACTGAACTGGACGTTTCATATGGTTCTATTTGTAGGCTCGGTGACAATAGTATCTGGCATTTGCTTCACCTCACATTGCCTTGTTAATTAATCTTGTCTATGCAGTGTGTCCTTGATTTGGATCTTAAGAAAACTAACATGAAGAATTTGGATCTTTGTTGATTTTAATATTTTTTGAGATTGGTGCATGAGTCTGGTTATTTTCCCTCGATCACAGAGCCGTATTATGAAGCATGCTGGGGATTTGCCAGCAGCTGCTGCATTGGCAGATGAGGCTAGGTGCATGGATCTTGCTGATCGGTACATAAACAGTGAATGTGTCAAGCGCATGTTGCAGGCAGATCAGGTTAGTTTTTTCTTTTGTTCCATCTGCTAATATTGAGTTTTTAGTGCTTCCTGTGCAGCATCTTTTCACAATTGTGTTTGATGTTGAACCTTAATTTAAAGGTGGCTTTGGCTGAGAAAACAGCTGTTCTGTTCACTAAAGATGGGGACCAGCATACCAACCTTCATGACATGCAGTGCATGTGGTCTGTCTCTACTGCTAGCTTATTTGTCAATTTCTCTTACACCTGTTTAAATCTGCATTTTGCTTTCTGTAATGACATTGTTTAATTTGCGTTTCTGGAAGGTATGAACTGGCTTCTGGTGATAGTTATTTCCGCCAAGGAGATCTAGGCCGCGCTCTCAAGAAGTTTTTGGCTGTTGAGAAGCATTATGCTGATATTACAGAAGATCAGTTTGATTTTCATTCATATTGCCTAAGGAAGATGACTCTTCGTGCCTATGTTGCAATGCTTAAATTTCAAGATCGTCTCCATTCACATTCTTACTTCCAGAAAGCAGCCTCTGGAGCTATCAGGTAAAATCCAATTTGAATAAGACTGTAATTTTTTACGAGTCGAACAATCAAGACCCCGAAAGCTTCTCCATGTGGGTTATCTCTACCACTAAATACTCAGATTTTTCTTCTAGGATTTAAGTAGAAAAGGATGAGTGTAGGGAGATGAATGTTTTGAAGATTTCCCAAGTTTTGTTTATTTGCCTAGACATCCTCCATAAAATAGTATTGTTGTTTCACAGGGCAACATGACATTGTTAGGCTGCCAATCTATTATGCTTTGCAGCAGTCAGGATTACATATTCTTGTCATGTCTTGATTCTTCTGCTCTTTCTCTTCACATTTTACTTTGACAGCTCTTGTTCCAACAAGCTTCTTCTACACACTTCACTTTCTGTTTTGCTGATCGATCAACTTTTTGATTTCTTATCCTATCTTTCTGCTACGGTTTGCACTGCTGATATTTTCTGTTTCATATGGTGCTTTGTTTTACTGGTGTTGACTGAAACACAGGTGTTACTTGAAGTTGTATGATTCCCCGTCTAAGTCTACTACTGAAGAAGATGATGAAACATCAAAGTTGCTGCCTTCTCAGAAGAAGAAAATGAGGCAAAAGCAGAGGAAGGCAGAAGCCCGAGCTAAGAAGGTAATACCCGTTTTCTTTGGCCTTCACCTGGCATGGTTTATGTAGCTATTATAATTGGTTATGGTTATGTTTCTCATCAGGAGGCAGAGGTGAAAAATGAAGAACAGAGTGCTAGTAGTATCTCAAAGTCTGGGAAGCGACATGTCAAACCTGTAGACCCAGATCCGAAGGGGGAAAAGTTGTTGCAGGTTACTTGTATTTCCTACTTGATTTCTCTTGGTTTCTTAGTTGACAAATATAAGATATCCTAATTCAGGATGCATATTACTCTCCTATCCGATTATCTATTATTCAGGTTGAAGATCCATTACTCGAAGCTACCAAATATCTGAAGTTACTTCAGAAAAACTCTCCCGACTCTTTCGAGACACACTTGCTTTCTTTTGAAGTAAATATTAGGAAGCAAAAGGTTCTACTTGCTCTGCAGGTATCTATCTCACGAATTGGCTACAATAGATTTGCAATGTGAAAACAACTCTTATCATCTAAGTATCTTGAGTAGCTTTGTTTTATGACTATTGGTTGATGTTATTTTTTTTTTTGTAACTCTACTTCTGCAGGCGTTGAAGCAGATGCTGAGGTTGGATGCTGAAAACCCTGATTCTCACCGATGTTTGGTATGTGTAATATCACCATCAAGTGTTTTGGTTTTGTTTAGCCGTTATTTGCAGAAGCTGTATCTGGATATAGGCATACTTGTCATGTCCCCTTATAAATTTCAATTCTGTACTTTCTATGCTGTAGATGATGTTCTTCCATAAGGTGGATTCAACAACTACTCCAGTAACAGATGCCGAGAAACTTATTTGGAGTGTCTTAGAAGCAGAGCGTTTATCACTCAGGTTAGTTTTGAAACTCGCACCTCTACCTTTTCTCCTATAGAAATGCTTGTGTGGTATTGGCTCCCAATTAGACATGTTGATTCCCTGCTTATTTTAATGTAGTCAATTGCATGAGAAATCTCTGCTGGAGGCAAACATGTTCTTCCTTGAGAAGCACAAAGGTTTATTTCCTACCCTTCTGCCATGTATATTGCTTTCGAAACGGTCGATACTCATCTAATTGCCAAACTGATGTCTGCTTTATTTTCTTGTACAGAGTCTTTGATGCATAGAGCTGCAGTTGCCGAAATGCTCTATGTTTTAGAACCTAGCAAGAAATGTGAAGCCGTTACGTTGATTGAAGAATCATCTAACAACATTATCCCAAGGTAAGGTTTTGAAGTTTACTTACTACGACAACGATACCTTAATATGTAAACCATGCTGTAAAAGTTTTATAATTTCAACGGTTTTGGTGGCAGTGGTGGGGCACTTGGGGCAGTAAGTGTATGGAGACTCAAGGACTGCATTGCTGTACACAAATTGATAAATACAGTTCTTGCTGACCAAGATGCTGCAATCAGTAAGCTCTCGAACTCTTACATCGCAACTAGGCGACTTTCATTTGCAAATATTTTAATGTCTGAATGTGTTGCCAGGGTGGAAAGGGCGATGTGCTCAGTACTTCCCTTACTCTACATACTTTGAAGGCAAACTGAGCTCGGCAATGCCCGACTCGGCATACAATCAAATCGGCGGCAAGTCCCCTGAAAATGGGACTGCTATAAGCCATACTCATGGTGATAAGATAACAGATTCCATAGCATCAAATGGGAAGCTAGAGGGCTTCAAGGAACTGACCATCTGAGAGATCTGTATGGCGGGTGCTTAGGTTTGTGATCCGCGATTTAACCATGCAGCCACAGAAAAATGTAGTCGTTAAAGGGATGATTCAAGAGGTTTTGTATTCTTTCTGCTGCTCATCCTCTCTCTGCTATCATTGATTTTGAAAGAAAAAAAAAGGTTTGCCCACCACCTTTTCCCTACTATTTGCTATACCGTGCAGCTCCTTCCCAGTGGGAACTGGATTCAGTTGCAAATGTGTATAATAGACTTCTGCTACTGATGTCTTTTAGAAGGGGTTTTGTTTTCAATTAACACACAGTATCTACCTAGGGCGAGATCTCAGATAAAAGGGTGACTTCCTTAAAATTTGCACCAAGCTAGAATTGCATGCAAGTTTTTGTATCACTCTGGGTCAGGAGAGAACAACTGCAGAATTGATGATGGTCGGGATGCTGGTTGTGTCATCAGCCGCTCGCGGCGTATTATAGAACAGTAGAGCTGATGTAGTAGGGAGCTTTGTTGTACCGTTTTTCAAGATTCCTGGTTTGTTTGTTTTTTGAATTTCTTTTCTTCAAAATGGTTGTTAGTTTTCTTGCCATGTATAAACACAGCTTCCTATTGTGAAAATTTTGCTAGAGTCTAGATACATATCACGCTTATGTGATAGGCATATCTGATTTGGTTGGTTACATGGATTTTAGACTTTTACACGGAAATAATAATGATTAAAGGGTTATGAAATTGTAAGGTGGAGACCAGATTCAACATAAAACTTTTTACTGCTTATCGTTGAAGTATCAAAGCATGTTTACATTATGGTAAAAGCTTCATTTTATTAAAGATTCAGTGTGCAATTATGTCAACTGTCTAAATCTCTAAAAAGTATATTAAGCTTTTTCTCTAACTGCCACTCAGGGATTCAAATTCCCCGTCCACCCATATTGCCATGTCATCACTTGCTTTCCTCATCTGATGAAATAGAATGAATTGAGACAGTATTTTGTAAATGCGTAATCATCTTGAATATATTAACTATTTCTTTCTTTTCCGATCGCCTGGAAGTGACAAAAGAAACATCTTGTTCTTTCTTCAACAATTTCTTATCTCTAGTGGGCCTCTCCGTAGGATTCGAACCCAGATGAAGTTCTGACCATCTGTCAGAGAAAAAAGAACGAATGGATATTGTAGGATCAATCAAAACCCGCCTAATTTACTACACAGAGAGTTAATAAAGTCGTGAACTGAAAGAGATAGAAGAAGTGAAGTGAACCGAAAGAAATAAAACGGGAACCCTTCTCCCTTTCCGTCTAATTCAAAAAAAAAAAAAAAAAAAACGGGAAACCTTTCTTCCTTTCCCCTTAAACTGTTCCACCGCGGGCCTGGCTGGCCGTGCCGGCATCTGCGCCGGTGCGATTACCTTTCTTCGGGATCGATGGCTGCTGAAGCGAGTGGTTTGGATAATGAGGGAGTTCCTGTCAAGCCTTGGGCGGCGCTATTTGGCATCGCAGAGGCGAATCGTCTCGAATACATCCCACCGGAGTTGTTCAAAGGGGGGATTCGAATGCCGAAGGTAGTGAGTGATGAAGGCGCAGCTCGATGGAAGCACAGTTTGGTCGGGCAGTTCCTCCATCCTTCCCTCCCTTCTCTTTTGGAACTTCGGCGATGGGCGAAAAAACTTTGGGGGCGAGACGGTATTGTTCGAGTTTCTTTACTGGGAAATCAGCTGATTCTCCTTCAACTTCCATCCCAGGAAACGTGCGATTGGATCTTGGAGAGTGGGCCTTGGTTCCATTCGGATAATATGTTATATCTGCGACCTTGGACCCCGGGGATTGATGTTGAAGATTTGGGGAACAAGGCTCTGCCTATCTGGGTGAGATTCACCAATGTCCCTTTGGAGTATGCGAACTTTCAAGGTATGAGTCGGTTGGGGAGTTTCCTAGGGATTCCATTGGGAGTGGACCACACGACGAGGATGGGTGGTCGACTTGGTTGTGCGAAGGCTCTTGTGGAGCTGAAGGCTTCAGCTCAGTTTCCTGATCATGTGTTGATATGGCCAACTGAGGATCGCTCAATTAAGGTGGGAGTGGCTTACAGCCACCTGCCTCCTATTTGTGGCCACTGCCACTCTTTTGGTCTCAAATGTGGATGTAGTAAAAGGGATCATGCTCTGAAGACTAAAGGGGCTCAGGGGAACTGTGAAGTTGAGCGTGTCTGGGTCAAGAAGGCGGTGCGAATGGTACCTAACACGTACCCTATCCAAACAGGTAGTCCAATCAGGGAGGATAAGGGAAAGAATGTGGCCTCTGCAGATATGGCACAATGCACTAATCTTATGGTTGGTTCAAACTGTGTGGGCATAAATTTGGAGCACTCTTTTCAATCAGTTGCAGAGTGTAGTTCACCAGTGCTTCCCACGGAGGATGAATTTCAGAAAGTGGTGAATGGAGCTAGGCCAAGATGCTGGTCTCCACTTCCTAGTCCTACCAGTATACTGCAGACTAATCAAACATTTGCTGCATTGCAAGGGCTCGGGGATAAAGAATTTACTCAGTTGCAGGCTGCTCCAAAGAAGGGTGGTAAGAAGGGTGGGGGTTCTCAAACCTCCCCAGGATGAAGATCCTATTCTGGAATGTTAGACGGTTTAATAAACCCTCTAAGAGAAGGGACTTTTCACAAGTCCTGAGTAGGTATAAGGTGGATGTGGTGGCTATTCTTGAAACAAGGGTTAGAAAAGCAAAATCAATTGAGACTGTAGTGGATTTTTGCATAGGATGGAAGAAGTTTCTAAATTATTTTGACAGTGATCTGGGCAAAATTTGGTTATTCTGGGATTCGGATATTGAATTTAGGGTTCTTGCAGCCAGGAAGAATTATGTACACTGTGTGGCTAGAGAATCAAGTGGTGCTAGTTGCTTTATCACAGCAGTGTATGCGTCTAATGATGAGATGGAGAGAAGAGATACTTATAAGGACTTGGCTAGATTCAAGTTAACCACGACTCCATGGATTGTTGGAGGGGATTTTAACTCTGTTTTATCCCCACTGGAAACTTCAAACCTAACCACGATGACTAGCTGTATGATGGACTTCAAGAATTGGGTAGATGGTATGGAACTGGTTGATCATAGATCGAGTGGGCCTTTCTTTACTTGGACGAACAGGCAAAAGGATAACCCTACTGCCAGGAAGCTTGATCGAGCCCTTGTTAATGAGACTTGGTTTGATGTTTTCCCTTGTTGTGGAATTGAGATCCTGGTGGGGGCTTTTTCAGATCACTGTGGGGTTTATGTCAACACGAAGCCTGAACAGAAATCCCTCCCAAAGCCCTTTAAATACTTTGAGCTTTGGGCTGGTCACCCTGATTTCTACCAAATTGTTGAAGAAGGGTGGTCTACACCTGCTTAGGGAGATCTATTCCAGGTTATTAAAACCAAACTAAATGCAGTTAAGAAAGGGTTGAAGAGATTGAATAAAGAAGTTTTTAATGACATCAGTGGGCAGGTAAGGGACATTGAAGGGCAGTTGCTTGCTCCGCAAGAAAGGGCTCTATCTAGTCCATCTGGTGATCTTTTTGCTGTAGTAGAAGACCTAAATTTGAAGCTTGTGAAGCTAAAAAAGGATGAGGAGAGTTTCTATTGGCAGAAGGCTCGGGTAAATCACCTGAAGTTGGGAGATCAGAGTACTAGATTTTTCCATCAATCGGTTAAAATAAAGACTGCTAAGAAGGCTATAAGAAAGTTAGTGCTTGAAGGGGGTGAGGAGATAGTGGAGATGGATGATATTGCGGCTGAAGCAGTAAGGTTTTATAAAAACTTGTTCGGTTTTATAGACCCTGATGTACATCCTAGTAAGCAGTATCTGGAGAACCTGGTCTTGCATAGATTGAGTGAGGAGCAGAAGACTTTCTTGTGTCAGGAGTTTACAGCCGATGATGTGAGACAAGTGGTAGTTGGCATGAGTTCTCATCGAGCCCCTGGCCCAGATGGTTTCTCAGCTGGCTTCTACAAGCGCACATGGGGGATTATTGGAGCAGACATCACTGCTGGAATTCTGGGTTTCTTCACTACAGGTAAACTCCCTAGCAGTATTAACTCCACTGCTGTATTGTTGATACCAAAGGTTGCCTCTGGCTGTCGGTTAAAAGAGTTTAGGCCAATCTCTTGTGTGAACATCCTCTATAAAATCATTGCCAAACTGCTTGCGAACAGATTGAAAAAAGTTCTGTCTAGTGTAGTTAGTGGAAATCAGTATGCTTTTATTGAAGGGCGAAGGATTGTAGATAATATTCTAATGGCTCAAGAGCTTGTGAGTGGATATCACAAAGGCACCCTATCTTCTCGATGTGCTATAAAGGTGGACCTCATGAAAGCATTCGATTCTGTTCATTGGGGGCTATTTGTTCCTAATGATGGAAGTAATGGGTTTCCCTCAGAGATTCATCTATTGGATCAGACTTTGTATTAAAACAGCAAAATTTAGCATATGTGTTAATGGTGGGCTGTGTGGTTTCTTTGGGGCACAGAGGGGGGTGAGACAGGGTGACCCCCTCTTACCTTACCTGTTTACAATAGCAATGGAAGGGCTCTCTCTTCTCTTGAATCGATCTGCTGCAGAGGGCAACCTGGCTTTCCATCCCCAGTGCAAGAAGGTTGGCCTGACACACTTGTGTTTTGCTGACGATCTGCTCATCTTCACAGAGGGTTCAGGACAGGCTATTCATAGAGTTCAGGGGATTCTGAAAGAGTTCCATTCCATTTCAGGGCTAAAATGCAATCCAGGAAAATGCGAGGTTTACTTTGGTGGGAAGTCAGTGCAATTCAAGCAGACAGCCTTACAGGTATCAGGTTTTGCAGAAGGGACTTTACCTGTCAGATACTTGGGTGTGCCTCTTCTTTCAGGTAAGTTGCCTTCTAGTGAGACTGACAAATTAGTGGCCATAATTACGAAGAAGATCCAGTCTTGGCGCGCAAAAAAACTCAGCTATGCTGGGCGGTTGCAGTTGATTTCTTCAGTTCTGAT